TTTTTAAATTTAAATATTAATATTTAATAAAATAAATTTTTAAATTTTAAATTAATTTTATGTAATTTAAAATTAAAAGTCGAAATTAATATATGTTTTTTTTCATTATTTTTTGACTAAAGGAGAGGATATTCTTTGTAATTAATGATTTGATTTGTAAAGATTGGAGAAAGATAGAGCAAGATGGCGTGAATGGTACTTATATTTTTGCTGGGAGGATGAGAATTACTTTTCATTTTTGTGTAAACATTCTCTTCAATCTTGATGTGAATCAAGCATGAAGGATTAAAAAGGTAAAGAGCATGTATTCGATTTGGGGGTGGTTGGATTGCAATTGAAAAAGTTGCACCGTCTTTCTCTGCTTCTCCAAATGCAATGGATTTCTAGTTTAATGGACTTTTTTTTTCGGTTTCCCGCCAAGTATTCAGGGCTTCGCCCCGACTAATCCGGACTCGACCCGGGTCGCGCACCTGGAAATGGTGGGTAAGTCTCCCAACGAAGACTGCTGCGTACGCAAGGACTCGAACTCGAGACCTTACTTAAGCTGGAACAAGCCGCTTACCACTTGATCCAACCCTTCGTTGGTTAATTTAATGGACTTTGATTTTGAAATGACGACGCCATCGAAAGACACATTAATTAAGCACATATATGTAGGGCTGGGTATAGTACGGTATGATAACCATACCGCACTCAAATGGCGGTAACTATTTTAAGTGGTAATAAAAAAGAATTATTATTTTCATATCAATTGATAATTTTTGGTAATGATTGTCAACCGTTTTTAATGGTAATGAAACTTGTTTTATCAATACCATACCATATTACTATCTTTAAACTTATTTTCTTCGTTATCAATTAATTCAAGTTATTCAAAATTCAATCTTAAAAACTTAAAATTATCTTAAAAACTTATTTTCTCCATACCATTTTTCATCATCTTGAAGCATACAAATATATAATTATATAAAACATGCACACATAAAAAAAAAAAAGAGAATTAGCAACAATTGAAAATTTTGTAGAATAAATAAAAAAAAGAAAAAAGTTTTGAATGAACGGTAAATTTGGTAACCATATGATAAAAATGGTAATGACTTCCAACACCAATACCGTATCACTAGTCTAATTGATATTACTATATTACCATTTAAACTTATCATATAGTAATTTATCATACCATTTTTACTGATAATAAGATAATACAATGGTAATTGTGGCATTTATGGCGTAGTGGCTAGCCCTACTTATATGTATAACTTCCACGATCTAGCAGCATTTTCACCCTAATCCTTACAATTTCCTTCCTCCACAAAGCTCAACCGCCTCCATATTCCTCCTTCTTCTCTCACATACAGTATTAATGGCGATTGGCTTCGAACCCCTACTCGTTTTTCTCCTCTTCTCTTTAGGTAATTGTGATTTCCTTCCTCCTCTGCTTAATTGTTTGCATAAGTTTGAACTCTCGACAATTAAAATTCTATAATTTGTAAACACTAACTCGACTAAACTTTTTAAATAATAGTAGCTTTAGGCATTTTTTTATTTATTTATGATTTTATGGTTTATATATGTGTTGTTGATGGAAATTTTCAGGGGCAATATTAAGTTCTGCAGCAGTTATCAGTCTTCATAATCAATGCAGTGATACAATTTGGCCCGGTACTCTCTCCGGCAATGGCGCGGCGATTCTGGGTGATGGCGGCTTCGAATTGGCATCCGGTGCCTCAGTCCAGTTCACGGCCCCATCCGGTTGGTCTGGCCGATTCTGGGCCAGAACCGGCTGCACGTTTGACCAGTCCGGCTCTGGAAAGTGCATCACTGGCGACTGCGGTGGCGTATTAAAATGCAGAGGTGGTGGCGCGCCACCAGCGTCCCTCGTGGAATTCACAATCGCATCCGACTCAAAGTCCAAGGACTTCTACGATGTCAGTCTGGTGGACGGTTACAATGTACCCTTAGGTGTGAGGGCAGTTAGCGGTTCAGGGAACTGTCAGTACGCCGGTTGCACGAAGGATCTCAATGCGAACTGTCCGGCGGAGCTACAGATCGTCGATTCAGGCTCTGTCGTTGCGTGCAAGAGCGCCTGCCTCGCTTTTAACACGCCGGAGTACTGCTGTACTGGCAACCACAGCACACCACAGACCTGCCCGCCGACGCGGTACTCATCGATCTTCAAGAATGCGTGCCCTACCGCTTACAGTTATGCTTATGACGACGCCACGAGCACTTGTACCTGCTCCGGCTCGGACTATTTGATCACTTTTTGCGGGCAATAAGTTTG